ATTCCTGAAGTGGACCTGGGAATTGAGTATGTTGTTCCCAGATCTGTTGGTTTTGGCCTGAATTTCCAGGATGAGCAGCTGCTGATTGGCAGAGCAGCGGTGTGGCTGAGTTATACAGCCCCAGTTTGGCTCTGTGATGGGATTGAGCCTTGTTCTGGATCAGCACAGTATCTAGCACAGCGTGTTCTACGCAGGGATAGGGCTCCAGTGCAGCTCCATTGTATGACTTCTGGGAAAAGGTTCTTAATTTTTGTGACTTGAATCTAGAGCTTTCTGGAGGATCAGTTTATGCCCTGCATTAAAAGAGGGTGAACTAAAGATGTGAGCTTCCCTTTCGCTTTTGAAACAAAATGTCTGTTTTGATAGCAGTGCCTCCTTTCAAAAAACATGTCAAATACCAAAGCAGTGCTGTTACTCTCCCCAAAATCCATCCACTTAGCACTTCTATGCCTACTACCTTTCTAGATATGAATGAGTATTTTTTTCTTTGTTTTTCTTCTAGCGCAAAAATAAAAAACATCATCTCAACTGAAGAGGCCAAAGCCAAGCTGCTGGCAGAGCAGCAGAACAAAAAGAAAGACAGCGAAACGTCCTTTGTTCCCACCAACATGGCTGTTAACTATGTCCAGCACAACAGATGTAAGTCTCGCGTAGCTCTCCTGACCCAGGTGTGACCCTCTCCTCTGCTGAAAAAAAGCAGTCAGTTGGGACAGAGTGTGATGCAGGAGAAATTAGTTCATCTATCTGCACAAGCAGCTGTCTGATTCCTTTTTTTGGGGTGCTCATATAGACCCCATATGGCTTGGTCTTTTTCAGCAAGGAGAATGACATATTACTCATCGCTTAACTTTCTGCTCTTGAACTTCCTACTGACACTGCCTCATAAATTTCAAGACTTTTTCTTCAAGTTGTGTCTTGAGCACGTGCTGGAAATGCCTGTCGTGTCTGCGATTGTAAATGATGGCTGATAATTGAGAGAATCCATTTTGTAGGCTGCCAAAGCGGACAGGCGGTCAAGCAAACATAGACCTTGCTAGATAGGAGATGAGAATTAATTTCCAGGAGAGGCCCTCATACCACAGCCATCTGGAGGAAAGGCAGCCTTCTGCTGTGTCCAACCATGCCTACAGGGGTGATCTGGAGTCAGATTTGTGTGTTGTGAAGGAAATGAAGAGGCTTTGGGCCACTTCTGATTAAATAGTGCTACTGAAATCTGCTGTCTCCCATCTTGCGTGCATTGATTATCCATAGAAACCAATTACAAGAATGCTTGTTCTGAGGTTCTGCTGTTTCTGCTAAAGATCAGTTCTAACAAATGCTATAGAAATGTGTCTGTCTAAATAACACCGTTCCAGATAGTATTCCTTATCTGATGTTTTCCTGCTTTCAGTTTATCATGAGGAGCTAAATGCACCAGTGCGAAGGAACAAAGAAGAGCCAAAGCCCCGTCCACTGAGAGTGGGTGATACGGAGAGGCCAGAACCTGAGCGTAAGTTCCTAATCTGGAATGTCATTAGGGGAAACACAGAAACTCTTCAGGGGTCTTGCACAGAGAAATGATCTAGCTCTTCTTACCTTCTCTTCTCTGGGTGCCCTCAGATAGTGGGGAAACGGAGCAATCTAAGGCCCTGAGAGGCTGTTGCACTCAATGTACCCCTGCTAGGTCACACATGAATCCGGCTGGGTGGAGGATGTCTGTAGAGATGCCCAAGGGTGGAGTAGCAAAGGTCACAACTGCAGTGTGTTGCCAAAGCTGGCTGAGAAGGGTTTGATGAAAACTGAAGAGCAAGGGGCGCAAGGCTGGGGAGCATTGACAGCTAAAGCAGTAACCTTTCACATATAGCAAGGGGCTGGAGAAGGGAAGTGCTGGAGTTAAGGAAGTTTCTCCTGTGAAAGGACAAGGAAATAATATTTCCTTCTGCTTCTTTTGAAGTATCTCCTCCAAATCGCAAACATCCAGCCAATGAAAAAGCAACGGATGATTATCACTATGAGAAATTCAAGAAGATGAAAGGACAGGAAATAATACTTGCCTTTCTTTCTTTTCAAGGGTCTCCTCCAAATCGCAAACGTCCACTCAATGAGAAAGCAACAGATGATTATCACTATGAGAAATTCAAGAAGATGAATAGGCGATACTGATGAATGTGGACTGAAGTCTTTGCAGTTGTTCTTATTGTCCACTAATCAATGACCTGAAGTGGAGTTGGGGAGAGTCACTGCCTTCACATCCTGGTGTTACCTACAAAGCTTTTCTTGTGATCTTGAAGTGAACCAGTTTGCAGATGATCGTGAACTCTTTTGTTGGTAAAATCTTGTATATAACTTCAGTTATAAAACTTCTATTATAAGAACAGGAGCTTTCATGTTTGGCATTTTTTAGTGAGAGAACAAACTTGCTTTTACAGATTCTTTCACCCTCTTAAAATATGAAAAAAAGAAAACCTTTAAAAGCAGCAGTGCTGTTTGCCTTGTAAATATAAAGGGAAAGTTTAAAGCTGGGTGGCTTGAATGTGACTTTGTAAGAGACTTCTTGTTTGTTCCCCAGGGCCTTTGCAGAGCAGAGCGTGTATGGCTGAGACGCTGCAGCAGTGTGTTGGGTGCCACTGCTCCTCAGCCTGGCTGCCGAGTGCTCTGGGAGAAATCTCGGTGCTGGCTGTGCCTGGCGCTGGCTCCGTCGTCAGCGCGAGAGACAGCAGCAGATACCCAGTGCCGTGGATTTTATGTCATTTTATATCACATGCTATGTTGTTTTGTATCTTTTCCTCCCTGTAGACTTATTTCTGTAGCAGTTCACTGCATTTTATTTTAGCTGTGAAGAAAATCGGATCAGGTTGTATCCATTGAATTGGAGGAAAATCGCGTTTTCAGCTTGTAGGACAGGGTCAGTATGGCAGCTGGGGAAGAGGCCAGAGGCCCCGGCGCCATGTCAGCCACGTCTTCCCAGGAGGCGTGGTGGGTGGGAGCTTCAAGGCAAAAGATTTGCAACTTGAAAATAATAAAAATGTTTTTTAAGTGATCATAAATGAGGTATTCCTTCTGGGATAGACGCCGCTGGGTTCCAGGTGCTGGTGGTGGTGATGGCGGGGTGTCCTGGGGCTGTGCAGGTGCCCGTGTCCCGTCACTTGGCAGCAGAAGCTCCCAGGTTGCAACTGCCTTTAAACTGTCTATCTTTTCAGACTTAACTTGGGCTTTTCGAACTGCCAGGCTGGAGTTACAAAGCTGCGTTTGTTCTGCTGCCCACCAAAGAGCACTGATGGGCTTCAGCTGCCTCAGCGTGTCTACGGATAAGTAACTTCTCTAGCAGCAGCTATTTAGACTCCTTTGACAATGAGACTAGAGAACAACTGAATATGCTGTGACAAATTTCTCTCCCAAATCTTTTATGTTCTTTACTCCCGACAACTTTTTTAATGCCTTAAGCATACTTGAGTTAAATCAACTAAAGCATGCTTATTAGTAAAACTATTCAACTAATGAAAAAAGTGATAAAGTACGGAGTTCAGTTTGTTCTAATTCTCAAGTTCTTGTTTCTTAAGAAGATCTAGGCAGCCTCTAATAAAATGTTCTCAAAAATCACACAAGGAATTGTTAGAAAATTAAGGGAATATTCATTACTTATTCTTGACATATGTAAAATGTTATCCAGCAAGGAAGAAGAGAGTGTCATGCAACTTAAATAACAATACCACACAAAGAAAAATACCAAATCGTTAAAAAGGAACATATCACAAATCCCAAACACCTCTGAATAGCAGGGTCTACAGATGTTATGTTCAAATCTATTATTAGTTAACAAATGCTCAGGTACTACACATGATGGTGTAACAAAGTAGCTCTTCTACCATTTTAAGTATATTAAACATAATCTATGTTTACAGACAATGTGTACACTTATATATTTATGTAATCTATCAGTATTATGGGATAAACAGATGCAACCTAATAAGGAGTTGTAAGTTAAAATTACTCCCAGCTTATTTAATTAACAGCCTCTTTTGCAGGTTCACCACATACTGCCAACTGTATAGTTGTATAGGTGGGTCTAAGCATGTATTTAAAGGAGCTGATGTTAATAAAGGCATTTGAAACTGCGACCTTCCACACAACAGAAACTGACACTACATTTCAGCATGTCACATTCTTTCCTACATCTTCTGAGCTGTAAAGGAGGGAACAGGGAAAAACTTCGTCAGTAAGATAGTGGCCGAAAGCATTTATAAAAAAGGCCTGCAGAGTAAATATGTCCATCAGTTCGTGGCGACTCTGCACTTCCCTCACTCTCACAGCATCAATCTCTACAAGGTAAGAGCGTGCTGCGATCCGTGGCGGTGGGGCACAGCTCTGCTGCCGTGGCTGCTGCGTTGGTTGATAAATGTTAGGGCACGCGCGGTACTAGAAACCTGGGTATTGTTTTAAGCAGTAAAATGGACCCTGTGCCAGTTTTGGAGTCGTATGTACAGAACTGGGTAAACCCTAACATCTATCAGGGCTGGTTTTCCCGTGGCTGTGAAGTTTTTCGCATGTGTTTTGAGCCTTTCTCTAGGGAAGAATGATGTGGTTATTTTTTGTTCTGCGCTTTGCATAGAGACGTGACTGACTTAATGGTAAGCGTGATTCTGCAGGGTTCTGTGGTTCAGTGATAATGCTAGTGGGCACTGTGAAAAACTAATAGTTCCTGACTCTGGGGAGCCTCCTGTGACCTCCAAGCATGCCGGGTGCCATGGCAAGCTGAGGCCTGCTCGCTGAGGCACGGGTGTGCTTTGCAGTTTTACTGCACACTGCACAGATCACTTCATTTTTCTGTGCATCCATTTCCCAGCTGTAACATAAAACCACAGAATGCTCTGTTGTCAGAAAGGTACAGATAAATGTATTTGGGATTGTTCTGCCGGTTTGGTAAGCATCAGCGCGGTTCTGTAGGCAGGTGGCTATCATGTGGAGCAGTAGTTCAGATGCCTGTGTTCTGAGTTTTTTTTTTTGTTCTAGTGAACTTTAACAGCAGAGTTTGAATGAGTACTGCTGCGTTTTGTCAGACTGAATGTTTATATTCTGTTTGTATATGTTAAAAATTGGATCGGGATGGTCTGCAAACCTGATTTCTAAATGGAGGAAATATGTTTCCTCTTTTACAGCTTGCTTTTCCCCTTCTTGCAACTAAGCTGTTTTAAAATATTTTAAAGTGGATCCTTTTCTGCTTTTGTTCTGAGGTGATTACACTTGGGAAACTTGCTGCCCAAGGCAGTAGGAGGAGCTGCTGCTTCTTATCCACAATGCATCCAGTGCCACCTTCCTGTGCTGCCTCTGCAGTTCAGGGACTGAGTGAACAAAAATGCAAAAAAAACGATGAATCACTGAAAATCGTTAGAACAGTTACTTCTCATTCATCTGCCAGCAGATCAGCCCTTTTTTTCTGATTACTTCATTACTGAGCTTAAAGGTAGCACTGAAGTCAGAGAAAAATGCAAAAGTTCAGTGAGAAAACCTCTAAATACAATAAACCATTAGCCTTTCTTTAAGAAGCGCTTGTAGTTGTCTTCATTTAACTTCTGAATGATTAAAACATAGGGCTGAGAACTGAATTGTTTTGACTTCTGCCAGTGCCTGCAGGTGCAATTTCTCATGGGTGCTGTTCAGGTAGCAGGTTTAATATTGTTTGTAGCTTTGACACCTAAGGATGTTTAGACCAAAGCGCTGCCAAAAGTAACCATCTTGCTTGCCAGGGCTTTGTTTGTGTTGCTCTTCTTTGGTGGTGCCCGTCTTTTGTCCTGTGTGCACTTTAATTTTTGCCATGGTTACCGGAATATCTGTCTCGTAAGGAGATTTCCTGCTTCTCCCATTCTGTCTCTTGGTGTGTTAATTTTTTTTCAGAACCAGCGTGGGATTCTGTTTAGTTTTATTTACAGCTTTTAAGCATATTTTAGTCAAGAAGACAAACTATTCCAATATCTTTTATTTTATGCCACTCAGGACCAGTTGCAGTCGTGGATTCGGGGAAATGTGAGCATCTGTCCCAGATCGCTCTTCATATTTGATGAAATGGATAAGATGCACGCAGGACTCATTGACTCCATCAAGCCATTCCTGGACTACTATGAGCTTCTGGATGGGGTGTCTTACCGACAAGCCATCTTCATATTCCTCAGGTAAGAAGTGGCTTCTCGGGTTTGCTGTTCTGTATGCTCAGTGCCTTTTAAAACTACCTCCAGCTACAGTCTTTGTCATCTCTTTACTTAGCAATGCAGGAGCTGAAAAGATAACAGAGGTGGCACTGGATTTCTGGAGAAATGGGAAGACAAGGGAAGATATACAGCTCACAGATATGCAAAATGCACTGTCTGTTTCTGTCTTCAATAACAAAAATAGTGAGTAAAACTGTGATTGCTTTTGAGGTGGTAAAAGTTCCTCCACAACAGGGTTGGGCTGCTTTTAGTGTGTGAACTGCGTTTTTACAGCTGTGGTTTGCACTTGATGTGGCTTCCAGTTTTCAGCTAGTGAGGAGCCACGATGCAGTTTTGCAGCCTACAGCCGGCTTTTGAGATGAAATGAAGGTTGAGGAGCTCTGTGTGCAGCTTGGCTACCAGCACGTTTGTTGGCCATTGGATTGCGTGTGTTGGGGGAAGCCTGCGCTGTGCATTTATTGACATAGTAGTGGACTAAAAGGAAAGCAAACACAAATCCTGACAGTAAGGCTAGTTGTTGCAGTAGCTGGAAAACCTTTAACCAATAAAATGTTATATTATGGGGAAGCCACTTCCTTGGCCCCCAACCCACTTAGCCTGTCTTGTTCAGTTTGTTGAAAGCCTTTGGGCAGCTACTTAGGAGCTATTTATGGGGAGCAGGCTGACGCACCAGCCCTGCTGTGGGCAGTCCAGTGCTTCCTAGGTTTCCTTGCACAGGACTTCTGGTGAAAAGGGTTTTTAACATAATTATAGTCTAAAATTAGCATTGGAAGCAAACTTTCTGCATTTTTTTAAAAGGTTAGATGCAATCTCTGAAAAAAAAGGAGCAAGACAAGCTGGTCTGGGAGAGCTGATAAGAGATAGAAAATCTGTTCTTCTCCGGGTAAGAGAGGGGCAGGTATGAGACTAGCACCTGGGGGGCAAGGCTTAAATGCATTCAGTCGGAATTCATTCAGTGAGCTCCAATGGACAACATTTATTTGTCTGTCCAAAACTTTACGCACAAAGTACCATGAGAAGGGGCTTGTATTTGGACTTACTTGTTCATTATAGGGCCCTAAAACCACAGGTGAATTCTTGCTGGTGTATAGCAGAGGGCTGTGATATGCCTCTTGCTCCCATTCAACCCGTGGTGGTGGTTAACTAGGGGAGTTAAACAAACCCCTTCGATTTCCCTTTGCAGGTGGATTTTGGCACAGCACCCTGATTGATAAAAATCTCATTGACTACTTTGTTCCCTTCCTGCCTCTGGAATACAAACATGTGAAAATGTGTGTCAGGGTTGAGATTGAATCACGTGGCTATGCTGTGGATGAAGACATTTTAACCAGAATAGCCGACGAAATGACCTACTTCCCCAGAGAGGAGAGAATTTATTCCGATAAAGGATGTAAAACTGTGGATGCAAAGCTGGATTATTACTATGACTTCTAATGCTTTATTGCTACAACTGCGAAGAAGCAAATTTAACTTAATTACAAAGTGGAGAACCTAGGACATTTCATTTTTAAGCACTTTTTAAAGAAAGGAACGTTATTTTTTTTAACTGGTGCGTAAATAAGCAGCAGTGCCTCTGCATTTTTATTCTGTCAGTAATCACGGCTCTCAAGTACTTCGGCCTTGTGTTGCCAAGGTAAGAACGAACTGCGTTATGAATGCGGGGGTCTGTGTCTGACAGGGCCGAAGATCCCTCTCGGATCATGTGTTGATCATCAGAACCGTTTCGCGGACTGTTAGCACGTATAGAAGGACTGAGACTATGACCTAATTTTGATTGGGTTTTGGTTTGATGCGGATTATCTGTTGAGAATTTCAATCAAAGTTCCTGTGTCTGTGAAAGCCTTCATTGGGCTTATGTGGGAATATTCCTATAACTGCGTTAAAAATCAAATGCGTGTCTTTTCTCCTCTAACAGCTTGGTTCTCGTAAGGATAAGGAGGGGATTCTGCAATTAAAAAAATCTGGAGTCTTCTATCCAACATTGTGCAGTACCGTTGTCTTTCTCGAAACAGTGGTATGAATTGGTCTCCGTGTCAAACTGAGAATATGAAACTCTTTGGTGTGAATAGTGTTCAAAGAGTAGACTTAATATTAGAGGGAAATTAGTTAAAATCATTGACTACCACTTCAGTGTGGTTGGTTGCTGATTTGGGTTTGGGTTTTTTTATGTATAAAGTTACCCACAGTGTGCTCTCCAGGAGTGATCTTCTCGGGAAGGAAACAAGTGTGCTTTCTGGGTGGTGAGTTAGCTTCATGGAAAGGGAGTAACTGAATGGGAAACTTGTACAGGTTAAATTTTACACCAAGGAGATGGAAAAGAGGTTTCTCCTCTTTACCTGCATGTAGAATTCAGGGCCCAGCTTGCAGGGTTTTCCGTTTTTCCTCTTCTCACAATCCCATATGCATTTGAGGCAGGGATGAAGACACATCCAAAAGCATTTGAAAAAAAATGTGAAATGTGTCAACTGAAGTTACTGCGAAGAGAGTTAGACTTGTTTCTAAATGTGAGCACTGCAGAGGCTTTTTTTCACTCCAGTTTCTATTCAAAATAAACTTTTCTCATCAGAAATGTATTTCTTAGCTACCTTCTGGTGTTCTTTGCATTGAGTGATTTGATGTGAATTTTGCACAAACTTACTACTTGTAAAGGAGGAGCATACTACATTTCTGGCTGAAGTGTTCAGCTGTGGGGAGGAGTTGTAACTCTCTGCTATATCTGATGAAAGGGAAACAAGTGAAGTTTGGAGTGAAAACTGCACTTCTAGACCATCGCTACTAATTACACTCACATGGTTTTTGCAGAGGTGGACTTTCTAGCTGTATATGCGCTGAATGGTGTCATAAAGATGAACTTGTCTTCTAGAGACTAGTTAAAACCCTGCTTCTCGTCTCCTCCTCCCACCGTGGTACCACTGACTGAACACCCTGCAGGCTCTGACTGAAGCCACCCACGTTTTCAGTGGCACCATCTTGGAAGTTTTCTCTGCAAGGGGGGGGGGAAAAGGGTCAGTAAAACTTCCACTGACCAGTTCCACTCTGAAGTTGTGTAATATGCAAATTATCAGTCCTAGTATTTGCCAGCAAGTGCTTTGAACTCGGGTATTTACCTGTTTCTTTGACCTCCTGATTATAGCAAATGAGTGGCTAATGGAAAAAAACAGATGGGAAAACGACAAACTTTTACTACTGTTTGGTATCTTCTCATCAAAACAAACACTTCGACCAAGCAGTATTGTGGCTCTTCCAGCATTAAATACTCTTAGTTCAGCTTTGTGCGCCATTGCAGCATCAATACTAGTATTTGACATGGATTGGTAGCAAGTATTTTGTTATATTCTAGCCCTAGATGGCAGCTTCCTCTAGAGGATGTAGAAATGATGTTCAAAGGGTGGAGACTGCCTCTGTTTAATCTGTCTTCTGTTCTTGAAAACAGCAGACCTGGCTAGGAACATCTGCCATCTGGGTAAAAGAAATAGTCTGCCTGAAATCACTCCTAGATTTGATCCTTCCGAGCCTGTCGTTATTCCTCCCCTTTGGACTGTATGGTTTCAAAGCTGAGGTCTTCACCCTGTCGTTCTTGCTGTGACTGGGTAACTCTGGCCATTATTCTTTTTAATAGGCTGCTTGAAACTGGATCAGATCACTTAAAGGAAAATGTCCAACACAGAGAAAGGTGTGATCCCTAGAGAAACAGTCCATTGGCCAGGTGGGAGTAGCTGAGCAGTCGCTGAGACTGAATTACCCAAGTCCAGTACAAGCAACTGCTGCTTTAATTCAACCTTCTGCAGAGAACGTTCCAAGATCTCATGCTGTGCTCATAAAACTAGAGGCTATGGTTAAAATGCAGCGATGTAGGAAGTGCTGTTCTCTTGACAGAAAGACGCAGCCTGGCCCTGGTGATTTGTCTGCCTGACGCCCTGGGCCAGACAGCCAACTGTCGTGTGTACAGAGTAAAAACACGACAGCTCCGTTAACAACTTTCCTTGTGCGTAATTTTTTTCAGTGCTAGAGAGGCTGCAGATGCTTTGGCCCACGGAGATATGATGACAGCCTGTAGTCCTGTCATGCCTTTGCCAGGTAGAGAAGAGGTGAAGAGATGTCTTGAATGACAGCTTTCCAGACACAGTGCAGAGAGGAGGAATGGTTGAACAAGCTACCCAAGGCATATTTGTCCTGCAGTGCCTGGCAGTATGGTAGGAGATACATGTTAATAACTATGGAGCAGAGCAGGTAGAGACCTTAAGGCTTTTTTGTAGGTGTTTGTTTCTACTGCGTTGTATTTAACTGCTGAATTCCTTACTGTGCTCTTGGATGACTGTTGTGGTTTAAACCAAGCTGGCAACTAAGCACCACGCAGCTGCTTGCCCCCCTGCCATGAGATAGGGAGGAGAATGGGAAAAAGTAAAACTTCAGGGTTCAGATAAAGACAGTTTAATAGGAAAGCAGAGTCAATATTAATAATAATATATACAAAATAAGTGATGCATGATGAAATTGCTCACCACCCTGTGAACAATCCCCAGCCTGTCCTCGAGCAGTGACCATTGCCCCCCCCACCAGCTCCCCCAGCTGATGTACTGAGCAGGACACCGTACGATATGGAATATCCCTTTGGCCAGCATGGGTCAGCTGTCCTGGCTCTGTCCCCTCCCAGCTTCCCGTGCAGCATGAGAAGCTGAAAAGTCTTTGATTACTTAGCAATAGCCAGAAGCAGCAGTAGGTTATCAACAAATTATTTTCATCCCAAATCCAAAACACAGCACTACACCAGCTACCAGAAAGAAAATTAACTCTATCCCAGCTGAAACCAGGACAATGAGTCAACATGTTTTAATATTAACAGGCTACTTAATCTGCTTGTCTATTGTTATAAACAAATTTTTAAGAACAAAGAAAGCTTAACAGAAAGCTGAAGTGCAGCTGCTTGAAAACTGCATAAACTAGTACTTTCCTGAAAATGATTAAACCAAGAGACAAAAGTGAATGAGGATTTATTCCAGCTGCAGTACAGTAGTAATATTTAGTGTTTTGAAATTGCACAAGTACTTTGGAGTAACTGAAACTGGATGCAGCATATCCACCTACAAATCAGTCAGTTAATAGGCAGAACACTAGACATGAAAAGCAGCAGTCCCGTGTCCCCAGGTTAATGGCTAGCTAGCATTTGGCTCTGAATATTGCATCAGCATGAACAGTTTGCCAACATTTGACACACTCCACATGGCATTGTAAAAGGCAATTGACACTTTTAATTTAGAGCTTAACATAAATGCTATGTTCTGTGTTTTAATGTGAATTAACCTAATAGTATTGAGACCTAGAAGTTCTGTATCGCATCTTAAAGCAAGTTTACGTACAAGTGAGGGAGTAGACGCTGCAGCACAAAAATAGCCCAATCCCTTATATTGTTTTAAAAAACACACTAGAATCAACCAAGTGAGAGGCACTTCTGTCTTGCACTATAATATCTGATCCACAAGTGATAGATGATGAAAGAGTTAAAGCTTGTAACAGAGTTTTAAACCCCAGCCTTACTAGTAGGTAAAGGTTAAATCAATCTTTCCCGCTTCCTAACAACTCATCACTCACCCTTCCACACAGATATTATTTAACATTAAAAGGTCCTATAAAACATACTTATCTAGTAAGGTATGGGATTGTTGATTGCTCACATCTCCCATACTCCCTTTTTTGTGGCTCTCTAGGAAGAGCTTTGCATTGCTGTTGCTTACACTTCAGTATAAAAATACACTATTAAAAATAACTTCTGCCAAGAAAGTGTCTTCCCAGCAAGGAGAGAGTAGTGTTACCCTCTCCTAGGCTAGTGGGTGCAGCTGGGAGGGACTGCTAAAGATCTTGCAGACTGCAGGCCCAGGAGCCTGCATGCAGACTAACCTGACAAGCTGTAACAGTCAAATCCTCATGAGAGATTTTTCTTTTCAGGAGCAGGAGACTGGCCTAGTATGTTGTAACAGTCTGATCCCTCGGATGGGTCCCTCTGCTTAGGAAGACCCTGGAGTTACCACACAAATTCACTTAGCCCCCTTAGTTACAAGAATGTAGAATCTCTTCTACAATTTCTTTTTTTCCCCAAAGAAACACAGCAGCAAGCAGTTACTTCCCCACCCGCCTCCCCCCCCAAGTTACAGATTTCTCTGAGCTCATGGTGACTTTCCATATGACTGTAGCAGGAGATGTGATACAATGCCGCAGCTCAGAGAGAAACTGTAATCATGCCCTTCTGGCCCTGAATGGCTGACTCTCGTCCGCAGAAGCCAAACAGCATAAGCCTGCTGTGAAGGACGGGAAGCTTTCCACCATACCATCTTCTTACTGCAAGCATCAAGGTGTTCACCCTTGCAGACGCTATCATCGTCCTGAACACACCACAAAGCCTCTCATTTCACTGGCCTATGAACGAGACCATGTACAAGGAAGGGAATATGACTGCCTGGAAGAATTCCTCTTATCATTTGCTCTAGTCTACTTTTTGTGAAAGAAGGAATCAGTTACGTAATAATCCCAGCACTTGGAAGAATAAAGCAGGAGAGGCTGTATCCAGTGCTGTATGTATCACACTCAAATTCTCTACAGGTTAAAATAAAATTAAAGGGGGCAGCATTTAGATACCAGCCAGTTCAGACATGAACAGCTGGATGTTAAAAAAAAAACAAAAGTTAAAAA